AGAGACATAGAGACAGAAAGCGAGAAATCACCCCCCAGGGGGGATGGTCACGCCGCAATCCCTTCTCCTCCATTCTCCTCTCGGGATCTTGGGCACGCACGCACACGCGCCCGGTGTGAGTTTAAGCCACCGGGTCCGGGACGCGAACCGCGGTTGACTACGTGGGAGTCCAGCGACATAGCCATGACACCAACTGCTGGTTCCCGGGATCCTTGATTCTTAGCTATGGAAACGAGTTAATATTTTCAAGGAAAACCATTCATTTAAAAAATGTGAATAAAGGAAGCTAAAACTGACAAGGCGAAGTGTTAAACTCAGTGCATCTTTAACCCATGTTCAAATAAGCAATAGTCCCCTCAGAACATCTTATTGCTGCTACTAAAAATGAGCTTATGGGGCCAGCAGGTGGCATGGTGATTAAGGCAGCTGGGTCTCATGTGGCTGACTGTGTGGTTCGAGTCCCAGACCTGGTGGCTTGAAAAACATGATGGGCAAGTACGTGTACATGCACAAAATCCTGAAAGGAGAATGGAGGAGAAGGGAACACAGCATAGCCAACTCCCTTTGGGGGTGATTTCTTTTTTTTCTTTCTTCTTTTTTTTTTGAATTGTTTGATTTAATTTTCTTTCTTTTTCTTTCCTTCTCTCTCTCCCCCCGCCTTTTTAATTTGACCAGAGGGGGACAGAGTGAGAGAGGCTAAGTGAAAAAGCAAGCTGCCAGGTTCGGGGCTTGAACCAGGGTCGGCCATGTGGGAGTCCAGTGCCCTTAACCACGACAACCTGCTGGCCCTGGGGTGATTTCTTAGCTGCCCTTACACTCTCTCTCTGGCAAATGCACATGTCCTATAGCAAAGTTTTTAAAAATAAGCTTATAGACCTTGCTCTAATGCAGGATGAACCACTTCCCCTCTTAGGGATAGATAAATTGAGACCCATTTAGAAATTCACATAGAACCCTCAGTTCTGCAAGCTTTTTCCTATGATAGCTCACTGGTCAAGAACATTTTTAGGGAAAGCTGTGAAAGGCTGAGGCCAGGGCAATAGGTTCAAACTGGACAAACTCCAGGTGACTGAGGCTCAGAGAGGTGAACTGACTGCCTCATGGTCACACAGCTTTTTAGAGGCAGCACCAGACTCATCCCACTTCGAGAGGCCTTCCCCACTAGCTTGGGAGGAGAAATGGTGTGGGGAAAAGGTTGGAGTGGGCCCAGAAGTCCTGCCTTTTCCTCTTTCTCTGAGTGTTGGAAAATCTCCTATTCTGACAGTGCCTGTGGGGCCAAAGGATGCCCCCAATACCTGGGCAAAGCCTGCCTGCCAGGTGGCTCGGTTTCACATGCTTCCCTGAGCCGGGTCCTCCCGCTCCTCCCCACTAGAGGGCAGCATCGCCCAAGCGTTCCGCGGTGCTCGCCGCAGCCCAGCTGGGAAAGTTGGCCCAGGGCGGAGGGCGCTGCTCAGCCCGCGCTGGGCCCTGCCTCCTTTCTGGAACAGCGCGAGAAGACACCAACCTACACCCTGCTCCGTCTCTGCGAGGGCCAGCAGGTGGAGGCGGGGTGGGTGGGGCTGAGGTTTGTAGAAGGCCCAGATGCCCCAGGTTGCAGCCAGGCCTCCAGATGGCTCAGGCAGGGCTCCGCTCAGCCACAGGGGGAGTTCCAGGGGCCACTCCTGCCCGGCTGCGAATGCGGAGTTAATTTGGGTGACACAATTGTTATTTCTCAGCTGATTTGATGCTCTGCGGAGCAGGCAGGCTCCTTGATGAGTTATCTCCCTTCCAAATCCCTGTCTGATTGCCTTCCTCTGGAGGTCACGGACAAGGGCAAACCCCAGTGTCTCTGACTGGAGCCTGCGGGTAGGGAGTGGGGAGGAGCCCATCAGAGGTGCTGCTGGCGATCCTGGGGTGTTAAGGCCCAGGGTCAGATGGGGGCTTTTCTGTCACACACCCGGACATCTTCATCCCCAGCGGGAGCTGCCTGGCAGTGGTGGGGCAGAGTGATCCCCCTGTGCCCGCAGGCTGGGAGGGACGGGCCTGGCTGAAGGGCTCCTGGCTGCAGGAGCACACAGGAACGTGCTGGGCAGAGCAGAGAGCTGTGGCTGAGCTGAGCCCACAGCTGCCCCCTGGGCTCCCCTGAGACCTAGCACCCCAGGTCAGGTATCCAAAGAGCTGAGTGGAGGACTAGGGCTGGGCAATCCACTGGGGGGGAGGGGAAGGTCCATACCGTCGGGACAGCCCTCATGAACGACACGGGGCCTGCTTGCTCACCTGTGCTGGGCACAGGGAGGGCGTCCTAGCCTCGCCACTCTGCTGAGAGCTGAGTACAGGGTGGGCAGAGGCCCTTCCTGCCACCTGGCTTGCTGAAGGCACAAGGATGGTTTTCTGTCCCCATTGGAACCGGTGGGTGAGAAGTTCCTGGAGCTGTCCAAAGGCCAGGGAGGGGAGCCCTGCTCTGCACAACCGGGATGTCTGCACCCCTGCCTAGAGCCCCCAGGAAGGTGCAGGGTCCAGTCCTGCTCTGCACGGCTGTAGGCACCCGCATGGAAGTGGGAACCCCCTGCCACTTAACCTTCTGTGGGCATCTTTTAGTTCATTGTCCCGGCTTGCCCAGGTCTAGAAATGGACCTCTATTTCTGTCGGAGTGCGTGAATCCCCTAGGCCACAGGCCCACGAGTTGAGCTGAGACCAGGAGGCCAATCCCAGCAGATGCACTAGTAAATAGAATGTGATTTTCAGATGGCTTTCGAGCTACGGACCCTGTTCTAGAAATAGACTCATATGCTGAAGCCCCAAACATGAAACAGATAAAGATAGAGCGGCTGCGTTGAAGAGGGGGCCGCTCCACTCCCCTGCCCCTGCCGGGCTGCTCTCGCGGCCCCCTGCCTGGGCTCCGAGACCCGGAGTTTGCCTTTTACGTGTTCCTAGCAGCAAGGACGAGGCATTCGCTGGCGGGGAGAGCGGGAGCTATTTGCAGAGTCGCTGACTTGCAAGGCCCCGTTTTCGCTCCCCGACTCGGAGGCCGACACAGCTAGATGAGGCCAATTGGGGGATTTGCACCACTTCACAAGATCCTCCTTTGCCCTGCGGGTGGATTAGCACGTGGTGGGCCTGGAGCAGCTGCTGACCACATCTGGCCCCAACTCCAAAGTGGCCTGGGCAGCTAGATCCGGACTCTGGAACCCGACCCGGCCTACCAGTACCCTTGGAGAAAGAAAGGAAGCAAAAGGGCTTGCCCCACCCAGATGGATGGAGAAATCGGAAAAGCAGGAGGCGAAAGGCAAAAAGGACCACTCCTCTCTGTGGGATTGGGGAACTTTGTAGAACCACCTGGAACCTTCCCCAGAGCCTGGCATGACTCCCTGGGATGCTCTGGATCTCGGGTCACACTGCAGCTGAGGTGACATCAGGCAAAGGCTTCCTGCTCATGACGGGAACCCCCCTGTATCACCCCCAGGACATGGGCATCTCCCCGCTGCGCCGATGCCTTCAGATTAGGAAGCTCACGACCTGTCCTCTCTGACCCAAGGGTAGGCAATGGTAGGTGTTAGAACGTTCCTCTTCCCACTGAAGAATTTGCCTCCTTTAGCACCTGAACAAGTCCGTCCATCTCCCTACCAGTCCCCTGACTCCTACGGGCCTGTGAGAATCCAGAAAGCCCCAAGCCATGGAGCCCGTGAGGCATTCTGGGATTCAGCTTTGGTGACACACAGAGGCAGACTCAAACCTCCTCCAGCGAGGGCTGGCTGCAGCCCCGCGCCCAGGCTGGCCGCTCTGCAGCTGTCCACACGGTTTCCTAGGGCTTCTTTCCACAGCACGGATGGGGTGGGGGCCTCCTGTCTGCAGAGTGAGTCTGAAGGGCTAGGCTTGGGCTAGGGAAAATGGAAGCAGACGAAAAGAGGGGGACAAAAGCACCCAGACACCACTCCCAGTCCCCCAAAAAGGAAAAGGGTAGCCTGAGCAGGGTGACAGATGGAGAAGAGGAGGGGGAGGGAGAAGAGGCACACAGGCGCGGAGGGAGGGGTGCCAGCCCCTCGGCCTCACACCCGCTGCAGGAGGGCCCTGGCCCGCTGGGCTCAGCCTTGGCCCTGCTGCTGAAATTCCAGCTCTGTGTGCAGCCCGGCTGGCTCTGTGCCAGTCATGTGCCCGCTCCAGGCTGGGCAATGGGAAGTGGGGCACGCGGCAGGCATATGGACGAGAAGTCAGGAAGTGCAGGGCAAAGGGCTAGATGTCCCTGCTGCCTGCGGAGGAGAGCACTGGTGGGACCAGCCCGACCCTGCCCTCTCCACGCACAGAGACCACAGACCCTAACCTTCATAAACACCCAAGGAGTGCCTGTAGGAGGAGCTTGGTGCCCGCACGGAGGGGACCAGGGCAGTCGCATGGTCGCGCTGGCCCGAGTCTGTCTTCCTGGACATCGGCAAGTCATTGGGCTCACCGGCTGACCACAGGAGGCCTGCAGAGGGGCAGGAAGGGCAGTGGCCAGGGCGCAGGCTCTGTACAAGCGCTAAGTGACCTCAGGTAGCTTACGCGTCTCTCTGAGCCTGTTCCCTCATCTTAAAACGACAACAGCACCTGCTTCATACACAGGTACAACTTTCATACGCACCGGCTCAGACCGTGGGTGTGCAGGAAGGGCGGGGGGCAGATCTGGCGCAAGCTCACTGCCCGGTACAATGGCAACCACGATGCTGAGAAAACCTGCTGGGTCTCCTTAACACCAAGGGCCCACGCTGGCTGCAGCCTGGGCACCTCGCCCTCTTTCCATGACCCTCTGGTGGAAATACCCTCAAGGACTCCCTTCCCACAAGTTGCTCTGGGAAGTGCACACGCCGAGAAGAGAAGGGGAGGGAGAGATGGGATCGTTATCTCCTGCTTCCCTCCACCAACTCCTCTCCCCTCTCCCCTCTCCCCTCCGAGGCCCTTGCTCCATGGGACCATCCTGAAGACCCAGTTGGGACAAAGGGCACCTCCTGAAGACAAAGACAAACCAGGCTGTTGGAACCTTTCAAACCCAGGCCATGTGGGGGGCATGTCGACGTACACAGGCTGCCTCTGCTGTGATCCAAGGCTGTTTATGCAAAGAACGTGGGGGTGGGTGTACTTCACATGGGCCTTGGGCATGGGAGCCTGGTCGCAGGAGGGCAAGTCTCCAGGACGCTGGAAAGTCTACATGGGGAAGGGACAACGTTGTTGACGGGGTGGCACTCGGGTGCTGTGTGACTCCGGTGCAGGTTGTTCACTCTCGGGGCCTCAGTTTCTGTCACTGACACGGGACCATGGTGACTTGGTCACAGCACTGTGGTGAGGCCTGGGTGAGCACAGAGGACTTGGCTTAACTGGCTTAGTGGTGGGCACTGTGTAAATGGCTTAGAGCTGTGTGCGCCATGGCCACAGACGCAGACGTGAGGGCCAGAGGAGACGTGGGCAGGCCCCCGGCAGGGCAGACTGGGGGGACCTCTGCCCTGGCCTTTATCCCCTCTACCTGCACCTCCTTTATTTGTGACATTTCTCACCCCTAGATTGCTGTCTTTGCTCCCTCTGCCTGCCCAAAGCTTAGAGTACCAGCTTGCATGCCACCGTCCCCATGAAGCCCTCTGGGGTTAGCACTGTTTCCAATCGTGTCCTTGCTGAATGCCCTGGGTTCCTGGGTTCTTGTGTACTCAGGCTGGTCATGGAGACATCTGTGCCCCACTCGTATCTTGGTTTTGCTCTCAGCGTCCCCAGCCCAACTCTAGTTGTGGTCTCCATTGGAGGTGGAGGGGCAGGGAGCGGGGCCTCAGACTTCCCCTGGGGGACTCCCAGCACTGACCCCACAGGGCTGTGGGCAAGTGGGCGCGCTCACACGTTCAGGACAGGCCTGGGCGCAGTAAACGCTGTGCACGGAAGCGCGTTTGCTCTCCGATTATTATTACCGTCGTCCCCCACCCCCAGCCCCAGGGCAGACTGCAAGGGGCTGGGCGGGGGCAGCAATGCGGCAGAACAGGGAAGAGGAGGGCTTCCTCCCTGCCCTCATCCCGCTCCTTCCTCCCTCCCACTCCCTTCAACCTGCTTCTTCTTTGTGCTCAGACCACAGAGCCCGCCCCTCGCCCTGTGAGCCGCCTCTGGCCGCCATGCCCTTGCCCTGTGCCCCCCTGGGTCCCCAAAGGCCGGTTCATCACGCCTCAGCTCCCTGCCCCGCCCCCCGCCCACCATGTGCGGAGCCCGTGGCCTCCTGCCAAGGCCTGGGGCTGCCAGCGGAGGCAGAGACAGAAATCTCACCGCTCGGTAGGTTTTCTTCTGCCCAGCGTGCTTGGGGGCTTTGCCTGGCTCGGCTGAGTTCTCCACATGCATCGAGTAGATGATGTCAAAGAAATCTTCCACCACAGCGACCCGCTTCAGAGAGATGCCCTCCGGCTCCGACAGGCCATCTGCCCCCTGCGACAGGGTGGACAAGCTGTGTTAGTGTCAGGGAGGATGGCGGGGTGAGAGCTGGGCCCTGAGGCCGGCGAAGGGTCTGGGGACAGGGACCGCGCTGCTCCCTGACCCCAAGGGTGGGTCTGGAGGGTGGTGAGGAGGGAAGGGGGTCTGCAGCGAGGGCTCACGGGAGGGGGGCG